TATATATATATAATGCAATAGCAACAATGATACAATTTTTTCGTATGATCTTTCAGGTGAGCAGGAGCTGCTACTAGTAGAGATACTGGTCAATGAACTTATGTCCAATTATTTTTCAATTTTTTGGGCTAGATCAGTTATTTCTAGAATTTTATCACTTATTCAAAAATAGCTGGTCTGATTTATTTTGGTGTAATAAAAAGTCGACTAATTCAAGTTTTTGCCCTAACTCTTAGTTATAATGTGCATATAAGCAACAATAAATAAGGTATTTTTTTTTATCAGAATTTGATATTTTGAAAAGAAAAAAAATTGGGAAGGAACATTTTGCAACGGGGAGTTTGTGACCAAATAGTATTAAATTAGTTTCGTTTCTAGATGGGGTGATGCTAATAAGGTGGAGCAACATTTGTTGCAAGAAAAGGAAATATTACTGCATATACATCATTGAACAGAACTTGCCGGCCTTAGCCTTAGCATACGAATCAGAGTGTATTTTCTGGTCTTTGATCGTGTCAACCAAACTTAAACTCTCCCATCCCCATTTTCTTTTAGTTGCAGTCAATTTCGAGTGTAAAGACAATAAAAAAATCTCATTCAGGTCTCCCAGGCCCTTGATAATGTAAAAATAGATGCTGATGTTCTATTAAGAAAACCAAAACTCAAAAGAGTGAGCACTAAGTTCTAACTTACTATATGATTGCTATTAAGTATGTGATGTTTGCACATGTCATTCGTATAATAAATAAATATGAATTCTGAAGCCGGCGGGGTTGCAAGTAGTACTTTACAAATGGCATTCACCCATTCATACAAGTCCAACGTAACCATTACTTCGCATTCATTTTCAAAGGGCAGTCGTGTAATTAACTCCATTAACACTTCTCTATAAATGTAACTTATCTATGGTTCTTCGTTCCAAGTCCAAGCCTGCGTAGACAGTTAAAAAAAGAGTTGGTTTAGTTCCCATTTTGTTCTTGTCCAAGCCAGAGAATGCGTGAGATTCTTCACATTCAGGGAGGGCAATGCGGGAACCAAATAGGAACAAAGTTCTGGGAAGTGGTGTGTGATGAGCATGGGATTGATCCCACAGGACAGTACGTGGGCAACTCCGAACTTCAGCTTGAAAGAGTGAATGTTTATTATAATGAGGGTAGCAATGGACGTTACGTGCCACGGGCTGTGCTGATGGACCTGGAGCCCGGCACCATGGATGCTGCTCGCACCGGCCCTTATGGCCAGATTTTCCGGCCAGACAACTTTGTTTTTGGCCAGTCCGGTGCCGGAAACAACTTTGCAAAGGGCCATTACACCGAGGGTGCTGAGCTTATTGATTTCGTCCTTGATGTTGTTAGGAAGGAGGTTGAGAATTGTGACTGCTTGCAAGGTAAACAAAAAGCAACCAAACGTCATAAGACGCTTGAGCTGAACATGAAACATGTTTGAGCAACTGGGAATCTGTTTAGTTTCAAAATATTTGATAGGGAGATAATTATTAAGCAATAACATAATTTACAGCAGAAGAATGATTTGTGGTCATATATATAGATATTTTTTTAATATGAGGAATTTATTTATTTTATGGTTTTGGGTTTGAATATAGGATTTCAAGTGTGTCACTCCTTGGGAGGGGGAACAGGTTCTGGAATGGGAACTCTGCTGATTTCGAAGATCAGAGAGGAATATCCTGATCGAATGATGCTTACCTTCTCTGTATTTCCATCTCCAAAGGTGTCAGACACTGTTGTTGAGCCTTATAATGCTACACTTTCTGTTCACCAGTTGGTGGAGAATGCTGATGAGTGTATGGTCCTTGATAATGAAGCACTATATGACATCTGCTTGAGGACCCTCAAGCTCACCACGCCAAGCTGTAAGCATAATAGCAGTAGTCTTAATTAGCACCTTCCCTCATGTTAATGAAGTTTCTATTTTCTTAATATATGTTTTCTCAATTAATTGTTTGCAGTTGGAGACCTGAATCACTTGATATCAGCAACAATGAGTGGAGTTACTTGTTGCTTAAGATTCCCGGGTCAGCTCAACTCAGACCTGCGGAAGCTAGCAGTGAACTTGATCCCATTTCCAAGACTCCACTTCTTCATGGTGGGATTTGCTCCCCTGACATCTCGTGGATCACAGAACTACCGTGCACTTTCTGTTCCAGAACTGACACAACAGATGTGGGATGCCAAGAACATGATGTGTGCAGCTGATCCGCGCCATGGTCGATACTTGACTGCCTCAGCAGTGTTCAGAGGCAAAATGAGCACAAAAGAGGTAGATGAGCAAATGCTGAGCGTGCAGAACAAGAACTCTTCCTACTTTGTTGAGTGGATTCCCAACAATGTCAAGTCTAGTGTCTGTGACATCCCTCCCAGAGGCCTTTCTATGGCTTCAACTTTTGTTGGTAACTCAACTTCTATACAGGAGATGTTCAGGAGAGTGAGTGAGCAGTTCACAGCCATGTTCAGAAGGAAAGCCTTCTTGCACTGGTACACTGGAGAAGGAATGGATGAGATGGAGTTTACTGAAGCAGAAAGTAACATGAATGATCTTGTTGCTGAGTATCAACAGTACCAGGAAGCCCCTGCTGATGAAGATGATTCTGAAGATGAGGATGCTGAGAACTGAAGATGTTCGACCAACTTGATGCTTCGCATGTTACAAGCAGTATTTAATCGATAATTTTCAGTTCTTTGGTCTTTGAAGTTTCTGGTTAGCTGCAGTGACTGCAGTTCTACAATATTTCTGTTCACCTTTATAGAAGGGTACCCCTTCAATAACAGTTTTCCTTTCTTGGTATTTTTATCGAAAAACTTGAATTACCACAAAATGATTATTTCATAAGCTAATTTGTTAAAATCTTATAATATTTCAACACTGTCACTCATCATGATATTGGACACTACCTAGCACCTGTAGCGCAAGCATGCAACGGTATTTGAAGTGGGAATACTCAAATCAATCTAATTCAAACTTAAATAGTGAAGTTATCTTCTTATAACAAGTAATATATAGATAATGTTTGGATATTGTGAATCACGGGAAAGAAGTAGAAGAGAAGACCTCAGTTCTGATGAGATATGCATCTTCTATCAGTAAATTTTCTACTCTAGGCAAATTCAAGAGATAACATCTGCGTAATCATGTTAATAAAAATAATTGAAGCTGAATACGTAAAATATACATTGTAAACTTCATATAAACAGCACTCATAGAGACAGACAGGTTGATGTTGGTTGACTGCTTTTGCAGTCTTGAAACGTTTCCAACAGCCTTTCCCTATGTTTCAACTAACCCAATACCGATCTAAAAATTTGAAAAAATGGAGAGTTAAATTTACAAAATGGCAGCAGTGCATATCAATTCTAAAATTCACCGCTAAGTAAAGGAAGAATTTAATTTAAGGACCTAAAAATCAAGTTTACCATGTTCAAAAATCGAACTATGGTTTGGTTCCTAGAACCATGCCTTTGGCCATCGTGTCCAAAAGTTTGTTCATTGTGTTATGGTCCTAGAGACCGAACTTTTAAATTAACAGCCACAGTATTCATTTTATATGATAACTACGACTTTTAAGGTCCCAAAATGCAATTCTCCCTTTAAAAAACCACCATACTTTTGGACATGATAAATGTGATTATTTATTGAACTAGAGTTTGATTTAAAGTTTATAGAACAAATAGCTTCCGCTATCATGTCCAAAAGTATGTTTATTGTGTTATGATCCTTCAGACCAAACCTTGGAAATGAACAGGCATAATATTCATTCTAGATGGTGAATATGCCTTGTTTAGGTTATGCATTGCTCCCTTACCATTCATTTAAAAACTTTTTGATTTGTTTCATGATAGTGACTCTGGCTAGTTGAGATACGGTTCAGCTGATCATATCCAGCAAGCACCCCAGCTCCGGCCACACCAAGAAGCATATTTGCAGTAACTCCTCGAAATAGAGCTAAGAAACCCTCTTGTCGAACAATCTCACGAAAAGCATGTATTGCGTTACAGTACTTGTTTGGATGTCCAGAGGTAAGCATCATTCGCCGGCGCAATGTGTCAAAAGGGTATGCACAAACCCCTGAAAATGTTGTGATGCTCCAACCTAACAAGAAACTAGCAAGAAATTTCCCCTGCAGAAAATAAATCAAGAGACTCACATTGGAATGCCAGGGCATAAGAGAACAGAACCAACACTCTGAATTAATCGAAGTGCCACACAATCAAGAGATGCAAATGTGAAAAGTTAAACTCAGTAATTTCTTTTCTAAAACAATGTTATGACTTTTGCCTTGAAGATTAATGTTCAAACTCAAGGGTTCAATTATCAATGTAAATTTGTAGAATGTACGTGAACTTCAATGATTGGCTCACATACCACTGTGGAACAGACCAAAGAGATTACTGGTCCAGACGTCCAGTAGAAATAGAAGGCAAATTTTCTCAGTTAAAAGTATCAAGAATCAACTATATATTTTCTCATTGACTAAATTAAAAATACTTAGTTGCTTACCTCAAAAGGCCCAACTAAAACAATAGGCTTCATGGTGTCGTAGATCCCAAAGTACATCCCTCGATACATGGTGATTCCCCATATTGAAATCCCAAATCCCCTGTATAATCCAGTAATTCCATCACTTGATAAGGTCTTCTGGTATACATCAATTAGTCCTTTAAACTGGCGTTGACCGTTAACACGGCACTCTATTGCATCAGTGCCCAATCGTGTACGTGCATAATCTAAATGGTACAGAAGCAGTGAAGTAGTCGCTCCTGCAGCACTGCCTGAAGCCACATTCCCAGCAAACCACTTAATGTACCCGTCTCTCTCTTGGGAATACCCAAAAATGCTTTTGAAGTAACCTTTGAATGCAAAATTGAAAGCCTATAGACCAATTAACTGTTTGCTCAAACATTATTTTAATATGAAAAAACTATATTATTTGAGACACGTGATTCCAGGAATTGATGGGAACACAAAGCATTAAAAGAAAACTGACTCTCTTCAACATGTATGAGCCATTATTTTATGTGAATGCCAAGACTCAGCTAATAATATTTATCATACATTAACAATTTGACATGAAAAGCACAAAGCAAGCTCAAGGGGTAACATAACAAAGAACAAACTAGAGATGATCATATATCAAAGACTGAGATTGCATGCAGGGTGTAAATGTTGCAACATGGCATGAAAAAATTTTGGATAAGAAAATGAGACTAGTCGGGGCTATGAGATATATATTGATTTGATTGAGAAAAGAGGGAAACAAAGGATTAAAGGGAAACAAATCAACATATATTCCCTCTAATTTGAATATCTAAAGTCCATAGATGACATAGAATACAAAATTCATGAAAAAAAAAAGATATATTATTTGGTTTGATTTCTTATAGAGTAGCACGAGAAGTAATTACCCTGATATATTTAATGGCTAAGTTACTATGCATCACTCGGCAGCCCTGATAACTTTCCATGCTCACTCTTTTGTTTTCTTATTCTCTTCCCTTGCTATCATTTTGTCGAAGTTGCATTAAAAAGAAAAGAAAAAAAAAAAAGAAAAAAACTAGAAAGTTATAACAGGCAATAGTCCATTTAACTCATACGTGTGACAACTTGAAAACAAGTGGTGATACTGATACATACTGGTCTTCTACATTAATCAGGATGACAGTGAAGTGAATAACTCACCTGTGTGGGGAAATATCGGATAACATTGGCCTGGTGACCTCTCCAAAAGGCAATCAAACCCTCTTCCATGAAGACCCTCTTAAAGCCATCAGACACACCCAAGTATGGTTTTTTGAGTTGTCCTCTTTTAATCATTTCGCCTTGGTTTTGCAATAAAAGCTTCACTCTCTCAATTGGCGCCGCAGCAGTCCTTGATATGATGGCCGCTACTCCTCCCATTACAAAATCCTTTGAAAATCTTTCATATGTTGATTTTACCATTTTTCTTCTCCTCCCTCCAACCCTGACAGATATATTGAAAGCTCAGTCAACGAGACATGAAATCAGTGCAATTCTAAATTTGATGCAAAAAGGTTAACTGTTACGAAAAAAGTTAATGAAATGCAGAATCTGGGTTATGGTCGGGAAAGAATGGGTGAGAAGAAAAGTAATCGATTATTATTGAGGGCAAGAAATGTCGTTGAGATAGAAATGAATTGTTGTATAAAATTATGAGATGGGGTAAAAAAGCGTGCAAATAATAAGGGAATAGAGGGAACCTGAAGAAGAGTTGAAGTAGATGAGATGTCTGAATTTGTTTTTATATGGGAAATGGAGGGTCGGGAATTGCCTCCTACTCCTTCTCACATAAAATTCTAATTCAAAATCCAAAATAAAGTTTATCACAAATAACCGCACGTCATTTAAAGAATATATTATTTTTAACGTCCTTCATTTTACTTACTTTTCTCTCTTTATTATAAAAAAAATCTAATTTCATTTCTTAATTCTTTAAAATGATAATATGATCATTTTTACCCAATTATTCATCGTGTGTATATATGATAAAAATAAATAAAATAAAATGACATGTATCTGTGTTTAAAAATTTAACACTGTTAGTTCCAGTTGAATCACAGTGCATTATCTTAAAAAAATGAAGGATTAAATTAAATAAATTATGGACAAATAAAATAATTAAACTTCAATTAAAATAAGGTAAGTTGTTTAAGGAGTGCAGACCCAATTTCTTTTATTTTTTTAAATATATTTATAATCCTTATAAAACAAATAAAATTTTACTTTGGTTTTAATATAAACTTTTCTTTGTTTTTTATTATTTTAAAATTTAAAATTATTAGCATTATATTAATGAGTTTTAATTATAATTATGTATTTTATGAATTAATAGGTTAAAATTCAACTAGATTTTAACAATAAACGTATGTTTGATTGAAGAAAGAAAATGAAAGAAAAAGCAAGTGAAAATGAAAATAATATATATATGGAAGGGTGTTAGGAGGGGAGATGGATTAATAGGACGCTGAGGCTGAGGCGGCGAGTGTAGAGAGAATCCTATCTTGTTCTTCGTCTAGTGTGGTTTGGGCGAATCAATGACGTCATCTCATTCAGCGAACCTTTGGGTTTTGTTGGGGCTGAGTTTAGCCGGAATAGTTCTGATAACCAGAAAGCTGAAGAAGAGTGTGAAAGAGGATTTAGGAGCTTTCATCCACAAGTTTCAGCTTCTTCCTCCTCCCCAGCCTGCTCCTCCCAAAGCTCCTCATCCTCTTACCGCTCTCACTTTCGCACTTTCCGACCTGTATAATCCTCTAAACCTAAACCTAACAACAATTCCTCTCTCTCTCTTCTTATTTCAATCATTTTTATGTGCCTCTGTGTTACCAGATTTGACATCCAAGGATACGTGGCCACCTTTGGCCATCCCGACTGGGCTAGGACTCACGAACCTGCTTCTTCCACTTCTCCCGCAGTCTCTGCCCTCGTCCAAGGAGGTGCCACCTGCGTTGGAACTACTCTTGTCGACGACCTCGCTCTAGGGTTCGTTCCTTTTCTTTTTCCGATACAATTCTTTCTCTGCTTGGTTAGACACTGGTGTTCCGTCAAAACAGTTTCACGCATGCCTTTGCTAAGCTCAAACTAAAATTGCCTTGAAAGACCTTATAGAAAAGTAAAATGCATAAATTAATTTTAGCTTAAGCCAGAAATAATCTCCTGGTTAAGTTTAGGCTAAAATATATTTTTAGTATTCTATTCTATCTTATCATAAAAATTTATTTTAGTCCTTTATGCTATTCTTTATTTCCAGTATCGGTGGCGAAAATAAGCATTATGGAACACCAACTAACCCTGCTGTGCCTGCTCGAGTACCGGGTGGCTCCTCTAGTGGTGCAGCTGTGGCTGTTGCTGCCGATTTTGTGGACTTTGCATTGGGTGAGCTTCTTGATAATTGATATCTTGTTAATTGCTTATGATCCTCTTTGGATTTTATATTAAAGACAAACGTGAGTCCATTACCACTCATTGATGGCAGTAAAAAGGTTCATGGGCGAATATACTTGTATAAAATTATCTTTCTGGTAATGTTAGAGGGTTATGCATACTCATTCTCATTCATATGATGCAATGGAGTTGCCTTCCTCCAGGAGTGGTTGCTTTCAAGTCTGTATTCTTTATATATCTACTGGATTTTGTTTGAGGGGTAACTTAATTCAGTCCACAGGAATATAGTTAATGCTAACTACAATCTGGCCAATTTTTCCTCATGGGAAATCCAATGGATTCCCACGAACTCGGTTGTCACTTTGTCATGTGATTTACACCATATAAGATGATAGCAAAGGAAATCTAACCATCTATTATTTTAAGTTGTTGACATGCTGAATTGGATCATTAAAGATCAAATGGATGGTTGGTAAAGATGAAAAGACATCATTTCTTATTTTGATTTGAGCTTTTACCACCAACAGTGTTGTCTGGTTTTCTTCTTGATACGCACTTTACAATCAAGTATAGGCATGATCTCAGTTTGCAGTTTAAATTAATTCAAGCCATAACACAGAAAGACATTTAAAGCATACAGAATAATTTTGGAGATTTCAGCTGGTTTTTTAGTAAAATTTTCTTTTGTTTTTCTTTTGAAAAATAAGTTGTTTTCATGCATTTAAAATTTTGAAGCTTATGATCATTTTTCTACCGTTTTTTTCTCTCTCTAAGGAATGTTATTCCCAAATTTCTCTATTTTTTTCCCTTTCACCAATGTAAATATCTTTTTTGTAATTTACTATATAAAAACTGTTTTTTTTTGGTATCCAAACAAAATTAAATATCTTAAAATTGTTTTTTAGCAAACGTATCCAAACAAAAATTATTCTAATTATAATTGATTATGACAATAATTGATCATACATATAATCGATTATTGAAATAATCTAATTTACATGGCTGTCCTGAACACTTGTTTAACTATGTCAACAGCACACTTTTGTTGATGGGAAATACAATATCCTTGCTTTGACATGTTCTGTGGATTAAGATATTAATGAAGGTATATCTGTAACTTCAATTCCTTGTTTTACTGTCATGTAAATTTGTCTTGCCACATCACTGTAAAATATTTCAATTTTAATGACTATAATTTTATTTTATATATATTTACATATTTATGCTTTTCTGTTTCTGATACTATTGCACCATCATGTACAACAGGTATTGATACTATTGGCGGGGTGAGAGTACCTGCTGGATTTTGTGGGATTATAGGATTTCGACCTTCGCATGGTGCTGTTTCTCATAAGGGAATAATACCTATTTCAACAAGTCTGGACACTGTTGGTATGTATGATTCATTTATTTAATGTGGTTTGATTTGTGAGCTTGTGGGTTCAAGTGGCTGTTTTATTAATTTATTTAGAATGATTAAGATGTGGTATAAGCATCAAGTGGTTGGTTGCATTTGCTTATTATTTAGGGCCTCTGTTTTTTTTTTCTGAGCAAGATTTTAATTATAAGCTATTTTGGACAAAATTAAACTAATCCAAATACACACCAAGAAGAGGGAAGACAGATGTTCTCTTACAATTGTTTCATATTCAGAATTTTTTTGTATAGTTTCTAGCACTGTCTTAGTTTTTGCATATGGATGCTATTACTACCCCACCTGCTGCATTTTAAAATTCTTTTTAACTCTGAAATGCCCTTTTCAGGTTGGTTTGCAAAGGATCCCAATATATTGCGTCGAGTTGGCCATATACTTTTACAAGCACCATTTGTAACACAGCGCAATCCTCGGCAGATAATTATAGCTGATGATTGTTTTCAACATATAAATGTTCCTCTTGACAGGAGTTCTCAAGTGGTGGTCAAAGCCACTGAGAAGCTTTTGGGAAGTATGAATTTTTTTTTTTTTGGCATTTTAATATGACCCCTCTTGTTTCAATTATTATTAAAAGCTTTTATCGCATTATGTCAGTGTGTCTGTGTTTGTGCTACTACTTTATTCATGAAATTGCACTCCATTAATTTTTGTTCGACATCAATTGTCCTCAGGGCAAGTATTGAAGCATATAAATCTGGGGGACTATATAAGTTCTAGAGTTCCAAGCTTGAAAGGGTGGTCTGGTCAGCAAACAAACGGTGAACTGAAAGCTTCTTCATTAAAATTACTTGCCAACATTACGCAATTCCTACAAAGGTTAGACAGATTCTTTGTAATATGGCAATACTATCATAATTTGCAAATTGTTGTTAACACTGGTTGGGAAAGAATACTGTACTTACCATTCTGTCATTTGGTTGACTTTTCTTTGGAACTGTTTTACATACACAGCTGCTTTGCTACTAATGTTTGATTAACCACAGCTATTGATGTCATAACTTGTTTTTTCAATTATTATTTCTCATTTTGGGTGTGCATAATTAATATTTGTTGTGTCTATGGAAGTCTTCAATTATATGGTGACTATTTCTGAATCTATTTGTGCAGGCATGAATTCAGACTTGTGCATGATGAGTGGATGAACATAGTAAAACCTGATCTTCATCCTGCTGTTTCAGCACAATTGCATGAAAAGTTTGAGGTATCTGATGTAGAGATTGAAAACTCTAAAGCTGTTAGAAATGAGATGCGTGCTGCCGTAAATTCACTTTTGAAGGTATTGATTTGGCCGTTCTGCATCCTACTTTCCTCAAGTCGTTATTTAATGACAATCTTCGTGCTGTCTCGTTTCAATTTGAGTTGCTTCTTCTAAAGTATTTTATCTTAACAGTGATTCAATAGTATAATAATTTTTGCTATAGGAGTTTTAGGGAGGTGTATTGGATTCAGATTTCATAAGATTTTTTTAGCACAAAAAAGTCCATGTGGATTTTAAAAGGCTTAGTAGGAATTTTATGTCTTTTAAGATTTTTTCAAAAGATTTTGTACGAATTTAATGACTTTTAAGATTTTTTTAAGACTTTTTTAATCAGGATTTTGTAATATGGATTTGTATCTTAAAAATTTATAAGATTTTGAAAGGATTTTATTAGATTTCAAAGGACAATAGGGATTTTTAAAAAACAATACAATTAATAAAAAAAAAGTAACAAATGACTAGATTTGAACAAAGAAGATAAAATCAATAAATTTTTCAATCTTTTAATAAACAATTGATTTTGGTTTCATATCTTCTTAAGTAACATTTCTCTACATACAACCCTCTATGTATTTATATTTTGTCATTCATACTACTAAACTTAAACAATATG